CATATTATTCTAGATGATTAGGGCAATTTGCAAGATTTAAGCTGTTTGACCTGTTAAACATAACAGGAGATGCCTTCCCATAGAACCTGTGCACCTGTGCTGCCATTAAAGAAGTCTCAGGCAGGAGAGCCACTGGTCTTGTAGTTGCAGTAAAGGCATACAGCAGTTCTTCACACAAGGCAACAACAAAGCCTTTTATTTCTGGGATGATAATGTTGGCACCACAGTGTTCGATGTATCAACTAACGATAATGAGCTGGCAGCAACCATTGAAGACACAGAGTTCTTATAAAATATGAGTAAGGAATTCTATCAGGACAATTCCAACAGCTGGATGGCACCACTACCATTTCATGCCTCAAGAATGAAATTATCAAATGTTCAGAATGCAGAAAATGATTTACTTCTTTATAACTCATCCTGAACAGAAAACCTGAGATGAAAAAACACTTAGTTGACTTTATGCAGGTGGTTGTTTGTGAGAGATCATGCTGACCACCTCTCAAGGAAGGAGAAGAATGTTTGTACCTCCCATGCTTTACCATCCTCACAAGCCAGGTCTGGGTGGCCTTCAACTCAAATGTTTGGTATGAAGGCATTACCCTCAACAATATCCTTCTCACCAGGCCCAATCAGAACAACAACCTTACAAAAGTTTTTCTCCACTCCATCTGGTACTTTACCATCTTAGTTTGACACTATACTGCCCTTGACTGAAACTATACTGATCTGAGTTATGAGTTGTGTGGGGAGGAAGAGCTCTGCTGCCTGTGCCCAGACAATGTACAGTGAAGGGATGGGAAAAAAAGAGCTGTGCCCCTGTCCTCTGCCCTGCCAGCAGTGAACCCTATCTTCTGCCCTGAAAGCAGTGATCCTTGTCCTCTGTCCTGCTGATCTCCCATCCTCTGCCCCCCTGACAGTTTTTACTGCACCTCCATATCAGACAAGCTAGATTCAACCCTGGAATTGGTCATTATGGCCCATTTAGGGTAAAATGTCTTTGAACAAATCCCCTACCAACTTATAACTACTTATACTTATCCTTAAGCAATCACCCACCATTCTAGTTCAGGAAAGCCTTTAACCTTCACCCATGTGACAATGGAGTGATGCCCCTGCTCCTTCCAATACTGAATATTTGGATAGCAGCTGCAATGAAGGAAGAAGCAGCTGGGGATCATTGGAGAGATGGGCATTAGTGGGTGGTGGGGTGGGGGGTGCTATTGACAGACGGTTTCACTTGCTTTGAATAGAAAAAGTGGCAGTATCTCTTTTACTTGCGCTATGCATTGTGATAAGGTAGACCATTATTTATAATTGTGTGTGAGCACAAAACAAAGCATGTAAAATCAGACATCAACTTTTGCACGACAACACTAAGATGGTCCCAATCTGTGCATTGTGGTGCACTGAAACTAGTATATGTAAGAAGCTCTGACGTGATCCTTTGGGCTGCCATTCTAAAATGAATAGCACCTCATTTATCACACTGCATATCGTGTGCACAGTGTGCACATATCATTTACCACAATGAATATGTGTAAACCTAGCCAGTTCTTAGCTTAAAGTGTATATAAAAAGAAAAACATTTTTCTTTATCATACATCACAAAGCAGGCTATTCATGACTATGTGGTGAATGGACACTGGCTGACCAATCAGAGAGGAGGTCCTCCCCTATATAACCCCCTCCTATACAGGAAGTACCTCGTTTTTTTCCCCCCCAGTGTCTGTAAGGTGGATGGTCACTGAAAGTGTTTCTGTGCTCTTGGAGTATACCTGAAAGTCCAGAACGGTTCCATTAGAGAATCAGGGACTTTAATTGGATTCATTTGAAAGGCTATGAGCTAAAATGGATGGTACCTGAGCCTCGCTGGATAAGGAAAAGAGTCCTCAAGGTTTTGCCTGTAATGCAGACTTACAGTGCTGGACCCCATGCTGATGGAATCCTGTACAGTTTTAAAATCTGACTAAGGTGCTTCCAGTGGGGTGCTATACAGGTCCAAGGCAGTAGCCCCTCAGCATGGGGACTGAGTCTTTGAAGGCCTGTATGACAATGCCATACACATAGACATCAAGAACGCATACTTGCATGTACTGATGTTCATTCCTCACCAAAAATGTCTGCAGTTTGCAGTGGGGGCTCAGCATTCCCAGTTCATAGCACTACTCTGGCCATGGCTCCCAGAGTTTTCACAAAAATTCTTGCTCCGGTGTTGGGGCTAATCAGAACTGGGGGAGTATTGGTCACAGGTTATTTAGACGATCTCTTGCTTAGAAATTGATCAGTGCCAGATCTATAGCAGGATGTGGTCCTTACGATGCTGATCCTGGAACAGCTTGGCTGGGTGCTCAACCTCAAGAAGTCGGCCCTGGAGCCAGTGCAGAGCCTGGAGTATTTGGGGATGGTCCTAGACACGGTTCAGGCAAAGGTATTTCTGCCTCCAGGGAAATGTAGCACCCTGAGGAACGGGATTTGCAGTTTGAAGGCCAATCCCTCAATTTGCCTCTGTATGAGGTTTCTGGGGAAGATGTGTCCTCGTTCAAGGCTATTCGCTATGCTCAATTCCACTCCAGACTGCTGCAAAGGTACATTATGTCTGTTTGGAACAAACAGATTCCAGCCCTGGATTACTGCATAGCTCTGTCTCCAGAGGTGCAGCAGAGTCTCAATTGGTGGTTGATAACAGAAAATTTGGAGAAGGGAAGATCCTTTTGGCCAGTGGTGTGGAAGTTGGTAACCACCGATGCAAGCCTTTCAGGTTGGGGGGTCGTTCTGGAGGAGGCCACAGTTCAGAGAACAGGAAAGGGTTCTTCCCATCAATGTCCCAGAACTTTGAGCAATGAGGCTGGTTCTGAGATATTGGACATCCAGACTGCCACAGCATTTGCATACATCAGTGGTGGGCAACCTTTTTTTTTCAACTGAGCCAAATGTCGCCAAAACCACGATTGAAATTTATTTTGAGAGCCACATTTTTAAAACTGAAAATACATCCCCCATATAGTAATTCATCCCCCATAGTAATTCATCCCCCATAGTAATTCATCCCCCATATAGTAATTCATCCCCCATAGTAATTCATCCCCCATATAGTAATTCATCCCCCATAGTAATTCATCCCCCATAGTAATTCATCCCCCATATAGTAATTCATCCCCCATAGTAATTCATCCCCCATATAGTAATTCATCCCCCATAGTAATTCATCCCCCATATAGTAATTCATCCCCCCTATAGTAATTCATCCCCCATAGTAATTCATCCCCCATATAGTAATTCATCCCCCATATAGTAATTCACCCCCCCTATAGTAATTCATCCCCCATAGTAATTCATCCCCCATAGTAATTCATCCCCCATATAGTAATTCATCCCCCATAGTAATTCATCCCCCATAGTAATTCATCCCCCATATAGTAATTCATCCCCCATAGTAATTCATCCCCCATATAGTAATTCATCCCCCATATAGTAATTCATCCCCCATAGTAATTCATCCCCCATAGTAATTCATCCCCCATAGCAATTCATCCCCCATATAGTAATTCATCCCCCATAGTAATTCATCCCCCATATAGTAATTCATCCCCATATAGTAATTCACCCCCCATATAGTAATTCATCCCCCATAGTAATTCATCCCCCATAGTAATTCACCCCCCCTATAGTAATTCATCCCCCATATAGTAATTCATCCCCCATAGTAATTCATCCCCCATATAGTAATTCATCCCCCATAGTAATTCATCCCCCATAGTAATTCATCCCCCATATAGTAATTCATCCCCCATAGTAATTCATCCCCCATATAGTAATTCATCCCCTATAGTAATTCATCCCTCATATAGTAATTCATCCCCCATATAGTAATTCATCCCCCATAGTAATTCATCCCCCATATAGTAATTCATCCCCCATAGTAATTCATCCCCCATAGTAATTCTTCCCCCCTATAGTAATTCATCCCCCCTAAAGTAATTCATTCCCCATATTGTGTCAATTCACTTACCTTTGCTCCGCGCGTTCTTCTCGCCGTGTTCCCGCGCCGTTCTGGTCTTCAGGGCGGACTGTGAGAGGAGAGGAGTTCGTCACTCTGCCCCGCCTACATCCTGGCTGCCCCGCCTACATCCTGACAGCTGCAGAGTCCTGACTTTTGGGGCGGCCGCCCGAGAGGAGGGAGGGGAGCGGGCGCCCGGCACACAGAAGAGCCACATTTAAGTTTGTAAAGAGCCGCATGTGGCTCGCGAGCCGCGGCTTGCCGACCACTGGCATACATCAACCACCAGGGCAGTACCAAGAGTTGAGGTGCCCAGAAGGAGGTGAACTATATTCTGACCTGGGTAGAGAGATATGTTCCAAGTCTGTCAGCAGTGTTCATTCCAGGTGTGGAAAATTAATACATACAGATTAGTCTTGGAGATATAGTCAAGTTAACCAATACCTATAGACACCGTTTACCTTTGGACATGAAAGGATTAAAACACATACCTATAAAATTGACATAAAGCTGATATTTTTAACATATTTTTCTCAAAGACTGTTATTGCAAATCAGAGGCCTAGCTGTTTCCAGATTTGGGACATCCCTGCTACAATCAGGATATCTGGCAGGTATAATCTTAAAGCAAAATTAAAACCCAAAATGAAAAATTATACTATTGAAGCTTTCCCACTTTCAGATTTGGTGGCTGCATTACATTTTTCTTTAGACATATTTCCCTCTTTATTTTCATCTGGTGATCTGGCCTTTTAATAACTTGCCGACTGCAGATAGCCGAATGACGGCTACACTGCGGCCAGCAAGTTCTGGGTGGGCGTCATGTGACGTCCTCCCAGAACGCGCTCTCCTGTGCGCACCCGGGGGCGCGCACCCGGAGATCTCTGTTATCGCTGTGTCCTATGGACACAGCTGATCATGTGATGTGGTAAAAGGCCAATCACAGCGGCCTTTTACCACGTGATCAGCTGTGTCCAATGACACGCTGATCACTGGGAAATGCAATAGCCGGTTCTTGCCTGCACTTTCCTCACGCTGTCAGATCGTGAGGAAAGTACTGCCGAGAACTGGCAGTTGTTACAGCAGGGATCGGCACCGATCATCAGGGCACTGATGATCAGTGCCCTGATGATCGGTGCCCAGCAGTGCCACCCACAAGTTCCGTCCACCTGTGCCCAGCAGTGCGCCCACTAGCTCCGCCCACCTGTGCCCAGCAGTGCACCCACCTGTGCCACCCAGCAGTGTCACACACCTGTGCCCAGAAGTGCCACCTGCCTGTGCCCAGCAGTGCCACCCACCTGTGCCCACCAGTGCCACCCACCTGTGCCCACCAGTGCCACCCACCAGTGCCTACCAGTGCAGCCCAGCAGTGCTGACAGTCAGTGCCACCAATCAGTGCCCAGAGTTTGTGCCAGTCAGTGCCCAGCAGTTCTGCCAGTCAGTGCCCAGCAGTGATGCCAGTCAGTGTCAACTATCAATGCTATCAGTACCCATCATCAGTGTCGCCAATCAGTGCCACCTATCAGTGCCACCTATCAGTGCCGCCTATCCGTGCCACCTCATTAGTGCTGCCTATCAGTGCTGCCTATCAGTGCTGCCTATCAGTGCCCATCAGTGCCGCCTATCAGTGCCCATCAGTGCTGCCTCATCAACGCACATCAGTGAAGGAGAAAAATTACCTGTTTGAAAAATTTTATAATAAAAACAAAGAAACTTTTTTTTTCAAATTTTTTGCAATTTTTTTTGTTTATAGCACAAAAAGTAAAGCGCCCAGCGGCGATTAAATACCACCAAAAGAAAGCTCTATTTGTGAGAAAAAAATGACAAAAATTTCATTTGGGTACAATCTTGCATGATCGCGCAATTGTCAATCAAAATGCGACAGCGCTGAAAGCTGAAAACTGGCCTGGTAAAGAAGGGGGTATAAGTGCCCAGTAGGCAAGTGGTTAAAATACCAAGCTGTCCAGCAAAAGTGGCACAGTGTTACCACAAACCATTTAATGCTGATGGGGTGCTTACAAGGGTAAGCATTTCAAAATTTATATAAAACCTTTTTTCCAAATAGAAAAAACAAAACTGCTGTAACTGCTTAAAAATGTTAGGCTTGGCTTCAGCTTCAATTTGTTAGTTAAATCCATCTAAATCTGATATTGCATCTAACACTACCTTTTCTGCAGAATGACAATGTTGACAATGTAAGGTATCTCTGCTGCTTCTTCATCCAGAGTGAAGACATCTAAGATGGGAAGTGTGTTATTGACCAGCTCACCAGATAAAAACAAAGGAAACAAGCCTACAAATTAGAAAACCAATACAGCCACCACATTTAAGAATTGGTAAGTTGCAGTAAATTATTCTTTTGTTTTGGGGGTTAATACAGCTTTAACTGAAATTGTTTTTGGAAAAAAAAATGATCCTGTCCATACAGCTGTGCAGCAGATGATAATGCTGTATATTTGCACTTTTTTCCTCTCTAGTTTGGCTATATATTGTCCCTATAGTCCAAGAGGTTCCCCTTTCTCCATTCTGAGCCTCCAGCTTCTCAGACTAGAATTAAATTTGTTCTAATTAGTTTCAGGGGAATATGTGAGATTGCATTGCTTAGTGAGACCTTTGTTATGCCCCACAAGAAGATTTCCACCTAGGGAGGAATAACACTAAAGAAGTAATTAAAGTTCAGTTACAGTTCGTTATGTGGAATGCTTTGCCCTAATTGCAGAGCGGTGTTTTTCATTATGTTACAATCTATATTCCGCACTGGATTCAAGGCACATCGCTGACCATTCAGCTACGGAACAGACTGGGGAGCAGAATATTCACATTGCATCGCATGTTCTTTTTTCTATTAAAAGGAAATATGATATCTACTCATCTTCCTGGCACATTCATACTTTTATATTCATTTTATTTTGCAATAATCCATAGCCATTCTGAATCTATCATTCACCAATATCAACTTTCTAAACTGGTATTCTATTAAAGTGGACCAGTATTTAAAATGTATGTAAAGTCAAACTTTTTATTTAAGTTTTAGAGTTGAAAGTGGTTGGTTAGAACACTATCAGGTTTTTGTTGCTGAATGTGTATGCGTGAGGCACTCTATCTTCTATTTTGAGGGTTTTGTATTTGTGGAAAATCAGTGCAGTATGTGGTTAAGTGCAGTGTGGTGCGACGGCGGTAAACACACTGAGTTCAGCTGCAATAAACAAACTTGTATTGAAGGAATGGTCCAAAGTTACAGCCCAGTGGGAACGCACCCAGCTGGGATCACTCAGTTTTGTGCAGCTTGTACACTGGAGTAGGTTTTGATGCACCAACAGCGTTTGTCTCCAAGAACGGAATGCGGCCTGGCCAGTCTGAGCCCAATGAGGAGGATTCCAGTGCAGGATGGCATGTCCCTAGCCTGTCCCTACTCATCTGGAATATTTCCCTACCTCTGTTCATTCTCCCTGACAGACGGGTGACCTGTCTCTACACTTTGCACTCACAAAAAGTGTGCCAAAGCCCAGTGGCAGGCACCTAAAAGCTCTCTTCTAACCCAAGATGGCCACCAAGGTCACCTGGTTGTAGCGTAGCCAACTAGAACACTGCCTAGGCGACCAAGGAAATCATAGAGAAAGCAGGTTTCTCTTGATTTCCTCTCCAGCTGCAGTACCACTCTGGCCAAGTGCCACCTACAGTAGAGAGCAGAAACTGCACCTGCCTACAAGTGAAAATAGCTCACTAAATGAGGTCTCTCTCACAACATAGTGTGCTCTTAAAAGAGGTCCTAAGTAAATCCAAATGTAGGAGATGAAATCGGAGGGCCCACACCAATGATCATGCGTGGAGTCCACAAACATTTTTATTTACTTGATCTCAGGGTAAATACCCACCTCATCAGCGTTTGAATACGATTGTAAACTTGAAGTAGGCAGACCCCATAAAAAATACTAAAAAGTGATGATCTTCCTAACATTCATTAGGTGCAGTAGCTCTGTAGCTAAATGCAAAGCAAGATGTTGTGTCCCCTAGGAAGATTCACCATAAGGTCTCTTTGTACACTACCACCCCCTCAGAGTTGCCAACCATCCGTAAATTTACAGATAGTCCATAAATTTTAACTCATTGATGGACTATTCATAAATGTCTGTTACGGATGGCGGGCGTCCCTAAAAAAATAGGCCGTGGGGCGATGACTATGCATGTCTAGGCTCAGCAAGCTCAGCCATTTTCAGCTTTTCTCAGGCAGGCAGCCGCATGCACAGTGACACCATGGTGCCGCTTGGCGCCATTTTTGAATGGGGCCCCCTCCCCCCAACTTTAGCCCACACACTCTAACCCTCTCTCTAACCTTAACCATGCAAATGTAATCCTTTATAGTAATCTCTTCTATACTAAGATCCTCTCCTTCTTGTGTATCTGGGACTAGAGTCTACTGCTTTTTCAACAGGTTTGTCTGTTCTGCTACATACAGAAAGTATCATTACTATAGGTGTTGATCACCAGCTCTAGAATGTAAAGGGGAATTCAGAAAAATCCCCCAAGGAACTCTAGCAGCAGAGAGTAACATTAAAAAACTGGCTTGCAGCTGCAAAGTTCTCAAAAATGTTAATTGTTCATTCAGCATTCAGGTGGATGCTCATGACAAAGGGTTTGATAAACTGCATCAAAGTCAAATGCTAATCATTGGGAACTGAATATTGCAATGCAAGCCATATCTGTAGCTGCTGAATGATAAAGCAGAAAAGAATGCACCCTTTTAAATTCAATTTATTTTTTATTACCAGGTAACCTTCAAACTCCTGTCTATGTATTTCATCTTATTAATACTTTATTTCAGAGTAGACATCCTCTGCATTTTTCAGCACAGCAATCTCTGAACAATGGCTGTAACGTTTAATATATTATGAATCGGCAATAATCAGTATGATTGAAAAAGCCCCTTCGGTCAGGCTTATTGTGAATTTTACTAAAACATTACTAGGCAGTGTGTGTCTCTCTCTATATATATATAAATATATATTCTATCTCACACATGAATGGTGCTTTCTACATCAGCTAGAAACCTCATGGGGCACCCTTAGATCCCACTCGCACTTCTGCGCTTTTTACATGCAGGTTCACATACAGTAAACAATAATTTAAAAGCATAATCAGCACAGGGATGTTACAGCATATCTTAATGATATCTGGATTAGGAGGTAAGGTGACAATAGAACTCAATGTAGGCAAGTATTCTATTCTGGCATGACCAGAGCAAATCTAATGCTATATTTAAAATTATAATTTTAGGATAGTTTTCCAGTTCACAATTATTAAGCCCATATGAATGGGGACTCTTAGCCCCCCAAAATGTATTGGCCATTTTTAAACAAATACTGGGAGGAATAAACTATCCTGACTGTCAGTATTATCTTGGTTCTCTTCTTCTACAAACTCCAGGACTATTGAATATCTCAAAGCTATAGCAATGCACATTGAGAAACAAATAGGTCTAGAGTAGAACTAAAGTCAAAACTTTTTTTTTTTCAATTTGAATAGAGCAAGCGAGGGTTATAACCCCTGTCAGGTTCATCTGTGTCCCATTTCCATTCACTTCCTGTCCCATAAGCAAACAGAAGTATGAGGAAATCCCTGCAAATTGGAGAATTACTTGGGAACCCTCAGGTCACCAGAATTAATGTCCCCATTGGAAGATTTCCCCTCTATAGCTTTTGTGGGGACAACTTAAAATGTGGGATTTTCTTTTACTTTCATGTTCAATGATAATGGTAAACAGGAGAAATAGAGAGGGTGAATCTCCTTAATGGAGATACAGACAGCAATAAAAACTGGCAGGTGGTCTAATCCATCTCCACTTCATCCAAAAACTAAAAAATGTTTTGCCTTTAGTTATACTTTAAGCTTCATGTACAGTCTGTTGTCTCCCTGGGTACAACAAAAGCATCCTAAAAGGACTGTTTTCAGTGCTCTGCCTGTGTTGTGTAATGCTGTGGGTCATGTATTTACATTTCAATGGTCCTATTTTTTTTTTTTTAGAACTTTTACAGTTAACTCCAAATTGAAATGATCTTAGTATGAAGACCAATGATTGTCACTTGTTTTCTACTTGATTATTTAATTTTATCATAGTATAAATTACACACTCATTAGGGTTCAATATTGAGTTGGCCCACCCTTTGCAGCTATAACAGATTGAACCCTTCTGGAAAGGCTGTCCACAAGGTATAGGAGTGTGTCTATAGGAATGTTTGACCATTCTTCAAAAGCACATTTGTGAGGGCTGGCACAGATGTCAGACAAGGATGCCTGGCTCGCAGTCTCTGCTCTAATTCTTCCCAAAGGTGTTCTATCAGTTTGAGGTCAGGCCTCCACCCCAAACTTGCTCATCCATGT